CACATTCTGCATGGAGCACTGGGTGTTATACGCAAACAATGAATCATGGAACACTACATCAAAAACTAATGATGTAATGTATGGTGATTAACATAATTTAAAAAAAAAAGTGGGAAGAAAAAAAAAAAGAGTCGCATGCTTTACTGACTGAGCCTGCCAGGCGTCCCCCACAGGTATCTTCCAATTAGCAGTGGAATAAGCAAGTAGCAACTTACAGAAATGTCTTTTAAATCACAATCCCAAAGCTGTTGGGGTGAGGTTAGCTAGGATTACCTAAAACTGTTGCTGGCTTGGAATTTCCCATAACGTTGGGAAAACCTCAATCGCCAACATAAAAAAAAAAAAAGAGGGCCAATGATTAAGACTCATTTTCCACTGTTAAATTAAAATAAAAGAGATAAAGCGTAAGTTGAACATTTTTCACTACTGTTAACATACTCTACCAACGACTGGAGTTGTTTATACATTATTGTAAACTACTGCCACCTAGTGATTAAACTAAACATACCATTTCATTGTGAATTTAGGATGTGATAGGCTAACAATGGAAATTCTTTCATGGGTATATCAAATATTTTATTGCAAAATACAGAACTTATAAGTCACAATGCATGTCTTCAAAGTTTTTGCATAATTTGGTAAGGAACACTTTAAAGATCAATTAAATGACACTCATGTCAGTTCTTATCTAGAAAGATTTCATTCAAGAAGTGAATATAATAGTTCAGGGGAAAGTAGAGTTCAGTGCATTTAAAGAATTCAGTCACCTTGCTAATTTGTAAAAAAATAAAAAAGTTAATATGAACCTTTAAATTTAGATCTAACTTGCTTTATATATCGACTAAGAAGTACCAAGACGGGAAAGAAACCAGCTAGAAGACCAAAGTTGGCGTCCACATCTTAGATTTCATGTACTAAAGTATCTGACTTACCTCTCTGTTTAATTATTATCTTTTAAGAAGTAATTGCACATTTACAAAGATCTGAAAACTGGAAAGTGATCAGCTGGAGGTAATAACTTGTGTAGAACGGTTTTATGTCAAATAACTGTCGATTCTTTTGGTTCCTTAGGTCTGTTAATAGTTCTTTGTTTTTGCTTTTGTTTTTCAATTTTGTTTGCTCCCTCTTTTCCAGAATCTGAGAGAACTAGTATGGCATGAGATTAGGAACACTTAAGTTGCAAAATGAAAAAAATATATTTAGAAAATGTCAAATTCCCATCCCAACTTGGGAGGAAGGCTTTAACTAGTCATTGAGCTAGCAAAACTTTAACGTGGATGAGTTCTGGGAGTAAAACTATCCCAACCTGCACAGCCTGTCCTCCAAGGGACCGATCCAACTGAACAGTCAGAAATGCAGATGTTGTCAGCTCATCTCTCGTGGCATTTGCTCCTTGCCTGGAGGAACCAAAGTAAAGTAAATTAGCTTGTATTTAAGTTTTAAGACTTTCTAGTATAGGCATTTCAGAGACTTAAGTCATTAGGAAAGTTCAAGATGAAACCGTTTTGACATGATATGGCCACAGAAGCTATCAGGTTTTTTTTTTTCCAAAGATTTTATTTAACTATTTGAGAGACAGTGAGAGAGAGAGCACGAGAGCAGGGTGGGGGGCAGAGTGAGAAGCAGACTCCCCACCAAGCAGGGAGCCTGACGCGGGGCTCAATCCCGGGACCCCAGGATCACGACCCGAGGCAAAGGCAGATGCTCAACCGACCGAGCCACCCAGGCGCCCTTATCGTTTTTTTTTAAAGTACTAATATTGAGCCATGAATTACCCTGTGTATTGCCTAGAACTACACATGATAATTATATTTTTATCTTCATTTTATAGGAAAAGAAATTGAGGTTTAGCTCCTTACATAACTTAGCTAAGTAATCAGGTCTGTCTTATTTCAAGTTGGAGCTGCCTATTTGGGGAAACCATCTCCACAGTAAAAATAATCCATTTGAGTAGAATATGAGCTTCATCTATTAAGCTGGATTTTAGAAGCATCCTATCTTTACCTGAACATTTGGTGACCGTAGTAACAAATGTCTGGACCCAAAAAAATCAAGGAAAGAAACATCAGAAGTAGGTGATGGAGTGGCCCCATTTTGTCATTCTAGCAATTCTTTAAAGGAGTTAGTAATAAAACCGTAGGAGTGGCTCAACTACCAGAGACCCAGATAGGGGTCAGTAAATCAGTTCGTCCAGTTCATTTGCAATTTCTCTTTCTAAGGTAGCTTGTGGCTATAACTCCAGTCACTAGCTTAACCTGTATAGGAACCTTTGGGAGATCTGCTTGTTTGATGAGTTTGTGGGAGGAAAAGCCAAAGCACTGAGCATGGTTTGTTTCTAGCCAATTCTCCCATCTCTGTCTGACTAGGGGTTAGCAGGAAAAATACTAATCCTGGAATCAGATTTCAGAAGTTTACCCTATCAGGATGTCTGGGTGGCTCAGTCAGTTAGGTGTCCGACTCTTGATTTTGGCTCAAGTCATGATCTCATTGGTCTCTCTGCTCAGCGGGGAGGCTGTTGGAATTTCTCTCTCCCTCCCCCTCTCCCTCTGACCTTCCCCCCAACTCACACACACCCACTCCCTCCCTCTCTCTCTCTAAAATAAATAAATAAATCTTAAAAAAAAAGAAGTTAACCATATCTTTTCTTCTGAAACCTTAAGAGTGACCTACTTGTCCAATACCCAGAACAGATTAGCAATAACCTCCCATCCTGGGCAATACACACATACACATACACATACCCCAAACACTGGGTACAGGAAACACGTTTTGTTTATTTCAGAATATTTCATTGCATCAACAGAGTCAAATGATATAAAAATGTTCTACAAAGGGGGGCAAAAAAAAAAAAAAAAGGACATGCTCATGTGAGGCACACATTTAAAAGAAAATAAAAAATGTTTTCCCTAATAAAGACACTCATAAAAATATAGTCTTTTAATGCCAATAGCTTAAATTTTCCAGGAGGCTATAATGTCATCAAACACTTCTGTGAGCCATGGGAGCAGAGTGGGGAGTAACAGAGAGCTGAGAATGACAGCTGGGTCTGTGACCACCTGTCTTTTCTCTGTCACATCTGCAGTTCCCTGCCTATTTCTCCATTTCCTTTTTTTTTTTTCTGTAGGAAAACATTCAACTGACTATAGACAGTATCAACAAACTTTTGTCCCAATTTCTGTTTTTTTTCCCCTAAAGTATTTCAACCAGCAAACCTAGAAAGCCTCATCAAACTCCCGCCTTCTGACACTCGCAATAAATTTTTTACTACTTACCTCCAGCCGCTCTGCCACTTCACGTCAAAGTGACCCTTGCTCCCATCCACACAGATTCAGAGTAATTTGCTTTATGGATCTGTGACCCAGGGGGTCAAATAGTCCACTACAACTAAGACATAATAAAGTCGCTCTTTGCCTCTAGTTTTGGAAACCTATGCTTAGGGACGGAGGTTGGGGGGGGGTGGAGCGCAATCTACTTTGACATGATTTCTTCTTTATAAACCTTTGGCACTTGTTACTCATTAAAAATAAATGCTGTGGGAAAATAGAATTTACTGCTTTCAGAGATTCACCACTGCCATTTTTCAATGTTTGTTCAATTTCAATTACCTGACATTCCAGAAAAAAGATGACTGCTGAAATTATTTTTCTCCTACCATTTTAGAATATAAGTGGTTTCAGAAATTTAAAATAAGCCACAACAAATATGTGTATTCAGCTGTTGATTTAATTCTAGTCCTTCCCCTGGACTTAATGTGCCTCTGGACTTAACCATTTATACCCCTGCATCAAAATTATCACATAACCTGGCAAGTTGTTTAGTCTGAAAGCTAATCTTCAAGAGATCTGCTTGTTTTCTAAATGTCTCTTCACTGCCTTTATAGAAGCTTTTGAAGTCCTGCAAACCATGCAATGTTAACAAACTTACATATTTAACATCCATGATATTAAATGGCAAAGACTCTCAAAAGGATTCTCAAGTATCTAACTTATCTTCTTGATATCTCAAAAAAATGATAAATTATCATAGAAAACTTGAACACATAAAATTGGAAAGAACAAATTAAATGACCTCTCCCTCCATCCCAGTCCCATCCCAAAGAGAGTAACTATTAAGAGTGTGGCATATTCTCATCTTTCTTCCCTTTGAATTTTTCACAGTGAGGGCCAAACCTGCCCTCCTTCTACGTTTCTTATCTCAGTGAATGAAACACTACGACGTGTGTGCATGGACCAGAAATCTGAGGTCACCCTTGATTTGGCCATCTTCCCTGTTTCCCATAGCCAGTCTTTCAGATGCCAACACCTTAATACTACAAACTCAACTTATCCTTTCCCTCTCTGTTGCTCTAACACTAAGTTCTGGCCACATTATCCTTCAGCTGGATTACTGCAACACATTCCCAATGGCTTCCCTGCCACCGATCTTCTCCCACCAGCCCATTCTCGTAGAGGTCAACCAGAATAATTTCTCTAAGAGGAAGGCCAATCATACCATTCCCCTGAGCAAATTCTTTCACTGGTTCCTAATGCCCTGAAAAATAAAGTTCATCTATCCCCAAGATGGTTACAAGGCCATTCACAGGTTGGCTCCTTCTGATTTCTCTGATTTTATCTTTTGCTCCCTAACTTTGCTCCAGCCATATGTCATTACTGGTAAGTTAGAGCACACTTTCCCTGCATTGCTTAGAACAACGTCTCTATTTGCTCGCTTGCCTAGCTGCTACTTCCGCTCCCACTTAGATGTCACTTCTAGGAGCCCTAGGAGTGGGCTTGGTGTCTTGCCTAGAATTCCCCAAAGATCAGCTTGGTTTTATTTTTTAAATCCTTCATACTTCATTGAAATGCCTGTTCAGTGCCCTCATTGAAATCACCTGCTTCTTTTTAAAGTATAAAATCTCAGGACACAGCTCATTTTTTTTTAACCATTATATCTTTAGTATCTATCTAGCACAGTGCTTGGCACATAGAAAGTGCTCAGTGAATACTTTCAAATGATTTGAGAAATAGTAACTACATTTAACATTTATCATCTGATTTAGTCTGTTTTAGTTACAGCTACATAGTTATTTACATAGATTGCAAATTGCTAATTTTTCAAAATATTCTCTTGAATTGCTTATTTAGTCTTTGTTTGATCTAAGTGCCACAATCAATTATATTTTTTATATACAAATCAGAGTTAAGAGGAAGACCAAGAAACAGAATGTAAAAGAAAAGCTGACTGAGAACAACTGATTTATCCCTATAAATGCCATGCTTTGCACAAACACTTTTCCGAATTAAAATTTTGGAAGAGGAAATTGCAAAAGAAAGACATAGCTTATACCAGGGTATAGCTGCACTCAGCTTTAGACTTAAAGAGAGCTGTAGATCAGGGTGTGAAATGTTGCTTCACTAGTTACGATAGTTGTGAATTTGGGTTACGTTACTTAATCTGTCTGCTTCTCCCCTCCCTTTTTGTCTTTCGAAAATAACCTGGTTATGAGGAAGAAACATAACAAATGGAAACACCTAGCACTTTGCTGGCACAAACATGCTGCCCAAAAAAATGGATGCTATGAAGACGACATCATAAACACAGAGTTAAGTAGCTAAATACATTAATCTCTGACAGGATATGATAGGAACCATTGCCTAAGGCAGTGCAGTACCTTAGTCGTGAAAGTGCATGTGAATCATCTGGGGATCTTGTTAAAATGCATGTTCTGCTTCAGTGGGCCAAAGGTGGGTACTGGAAATCTACATTTTTAACCAGCTCCCAGGGGATGCTGATGTTTCTGGTTCCCGGACCACCCTTTGGGTACCAAGACCCTATAGGATAAACATAATCATCCCATCTCCTGAACTTGGTTGCGCTCAAGACACTGGTCAGTGTAAGTGATAAGTGGTCACACTGTCAGGATAGAGGTGACTCTGTCATCTGGTAGGACCCTCACCATAGAGAAATGTCACCATATCAGCAGAGACCCATGTCCATGACACTCTATACACCCACTGAAGGTTGCCATCACCATGTAGGCAAAAGTAGGATCCTGCTTCACCCCTGCACCTCCCACCCACACCTCTCAGTTTTAATATCTTTTTGGAAATTTTTTTTCTTTTTTCCAGTCTCCTCAGAAATATTTTATTTTACCTGATTTCACTTAGTAAAAAGTTTGAGAGTCCCACACTATATGATTTGTTGCAGAATCCCCATCCCTTTGGAACAGCCCAGCATGGTATGTATACTTACCTTACCTGACTGGACATTCCCCATTGATCAGAGCCTTGGCACTGGACTCTAAGTATCTTAACCTTCAATTAACTCAAATCATTATGCAAAACCATATAAGATGTGGATACACTGGCATTTTTTCCTCCTTTATTGCCACAAATTTCATGGGGACCAAGAGTAAAAAATGCATCAATTTGAGGTTTCTGGAGTATGAAACAGTATAAATGATATATATCCCTTAGAGGGTTTGCCTCACTGCAACTCTGCAGCTCCAATTAGGATGGACCTCTGTGAATTTTAATAATAAGAACACACGGTAGCCAGTGCTGGCCAACTGGAGTTAGTTTGCCCCGGAGGTGAGATATTCAACTACATATCCACTAAAAGAACACTACATTTAGATACCAAAATCTTTTTCCTAGACTAGAAAGGATGATTTTTAAAAAAATTTATTTATTTATTTGAGAGAGAGAGATCATGCAAGAGTGGGGGGAGGGGCAGAGGGAGAGGATGAGGGAGAATCTCCAGCAGACTCCACTCTGAGCACAGGGAGCCCAACCCGGGGCTTGATCTCATGACCCTGAGATCTTGATACTGAGATCATGACCTGAGCTGAAATTAAGAGTTGGAGGCTTAACCAACGGAGTCACCCAGGTGCCCCTAGAAAGGATGATTTTTATTTAACCCTTCCTGCTTGTGGACAAGGCTACAAAATACAGTCAAAAATCATATTGAAAGAAAATACCACATGCATGCTATACAAATCTCACCGGGGTAACTATAGGATAATTCTACCCCATATCCCATGGAATTTGATGAAACGTAACTTTGGAGCAAAATCTGTCCTCCTTGGAACTCGAGATCTTAAGAAAGAGGAAAACTTACCAGGTGTAGATAATCTGTCCTCTGGGATGAGTGTAGAGTATAATGTAGCAGTCACCACCATAGAATTCGCCATATGAGTTTTGATCAATTTCGATCCTACCATTATTTTCTACACGCCAAATCTGAAAGGAATGGAATGTGTGTAACAAAATTAAAATTTTCTTGATCTAATAGTACTTCTCAGGAGTTAATTTTGGGAGGGGGGTTAGATCTATTGTTAAACAACTTTTAAATACTTTTCTAACTAGCTTACAAATTAAGCAATGGGAAGAAATTTTATCAGTTTGACCGTTTGTTCACTATTAATACATACCTCCTGTTTGATTGATTAGTGAAAATAACACGAGACTCCGGTGGAATAAGGAACTAAAATATTCGGCTCAGAAATATGTCTCTTAACTTGCATAAAATATTTCATCCATTAGGAGATAACTTGTTTGTTAAAAACATTTTTTCCCCTGCACTGTAAGGCATGAAACTATTATTTCTTTAGGCAAGAGTGGCAGATTGGGGCCAAATAATCAAGATGCCAATTACTTGAGTATTTTTAAGAGCCATCATCTAGGCATAAGACTGAAAAGGTAAAAATAGGCAGAACCAGTTTTTGTTTTTGTTTTTGTTTTCTAGTTTCTCATCCTCATCACAGACTAAAGACACTCCAAGTTGGAGAGATGAGAGCTGCAGATGAACCAGGAAAGTAACACTAGAGAGCCTGCCAGGCACTGTGCGCATGCGCACCCTCCCGGGGAGCGTGAGGATACACCCCTTCCCTTGAAATCTGGAGATGAAGGAGCAGCAGTGCTTTCAGAGAGACGCACGACATCCTAGTGAGCAAGGGAGAAACAACAGCACTATCGGGCTAAGCCCAAAAGCCTAGAGAAAGCCCCCAGGCTTCCGAAGTCCGGGGACGACTCAGGAGGACATCTCGGAGACAACATGACCCGACACAAGGAGACTGCAGCTGGGACATGGTGCTGGGGAGCCACATCTGCCAAGAGGCCCTGCGGCTGTGCAGAGCTGCAGAAAAGCACGTGTGAGCAGGAGACAGGCTCAGACCGGAAGCCGATACCCCTGGAACAATGGCCATGAGGTGCCTTTCTCCCTTTGCACTTCCCACAACCCCTCGATGGCTTAGATGCATACTTCATGTCTTTGAAAAGAGGCAAAACTACTTCCTAAATCTCTTTCCCATTCACTTTGCTCCAGACATTGTAGTAAGTCTTGGGAATACAAAGATAAAATAGTCAATTCCTACCCTCCAGGAACTAACGAGAGCACTAGGAAGAAAAATAAACAGTTTTGCAGTCCCTAGATGATGGTTCTGTGAAAAATATCACTTATGGTTTGAGCACAGAGAGCTGCTCCAGGGCAGAGGGAGGGCTTCTCAAAGAGGTGCAGCTTGTGACTGAACTGAATTAGGCAGGAGGACGAGTGGAGACTTTAGCCAGAGGGAGGAGGGTGAGGCAGCAAGGAGAGCAAGGATCAAATCCTGGAAGACCTTGTGGGCCCAGCTGAAGATGGAGTGCCATTAAAATATTTTATAAGACGTAACATTACCCAGGTCTCATTAAGTTAGATGACTTAAGAGTAGAGGGTGAAGAGAGCTGAATTAGGGAGAATTATAAGGGGGTTATGAGCAATTTTTTGTCAAAAAATGGGAATAATCAACAAACAATTTGAATGCTCTAAAAATATCTATGAGTTTAGCACATGCCCAATTTGCTTTTGTGAATGCCTGTAAGATACAAGGAAAGGTCTAAATAATGGTCATTGGTACATTCAGAGCAACTCGCCCTCACTGGATAATCCCAGTTCCAGGAGCGGGAGCAATTCTGGACCAGGAAACAAGATGACTGGGTTCCACAACATGTCTCTAAGATGATAATGAGGTGATCTTGCACAAATCACCTAACTTCTTGGAATCTCAACACACACACTGTAAAATAGGATTGAAGGTCAGAGAGTATCTCTTCCGGATTTAAACTCCCTGATTTAATATACAGTCATGGTCCACCTTTATTAATAAGTAAAATTAACAAGTAAAATGACAAGTTTGTAGTCTTCTGAAATTACATTTCCAGGTGTACTGGCATAAATGGACTTGATGAAAACAAAGAAACACAAACAGGAACAGCCAAATACCTCCACTTTGCCGGAACCATCATCCACCATATTGTGCTGGGCGGCCATCTGCGGAGAAGTATGTAGTTTTGAGGCATCAAATGGAATTTGTTTTATTCGAGCCACTTTCTCGGTGACATAGACTTTCCCGAAGCCATCACTCTGATCTTTCTCTCTCCAGTCCTTAAAGAACTGTTTGAAGATTGGTGTTTCCCCTCCTTCTGGAAGAACTTGAATCTAAAATTTAAAACAATAATAATTATTATAAAAAGAAAATAGAGGAAAAACATTCATCCAGGAATGGAGAAAAAACTAAGGAAATGAAAAGACTGTCTTGGTTTCTGTGATGACAGATGTAAATTAGAAGCCGGGATCCATAAGTGAATGTAAAATGGAAGATTATCAGATATGAAGGTAAAACAATCCAGCTGTACTTTTTGTCACAACTAAAGTGATTGCCACTGAATTTGGATGTTTGAAGTAAGAACAAAGTTCTTTCATGTTACCATTACACATATGACTGGTTTTCTGCATTAGGTTTATAAGAGATCTGTGACCTGGAAGAAATGATCTCATTGTGTTCCTTGTGCCAGGACATAAAACTGAAGAGAAAGGATGAGGCTGAAAGACTCAGAAAAGGAAGAGTACCTAGTCAGGTGACTAAGCTGATGTCAATGAAGCCAAATATTATGTGGGTATTAGCCCATGTCTGCACAACTTGCTCTCAGGACTAACTGAAAAGTGCTCTCAGTGCATTCAACTGTGGTTGATCATCTTGACTGAAATGCCATGGAAGAAACAGATGGGGTCTTTTTTTTTATCATGCAGCCCCATGGAAGGTCTGATCTCCAGTTTCTGCAAAATTCCATCCTCCACAAAGCTATGGTTCTAGGGACATGGGGCACAATGTGGCACACACATAAGGGAAGAATGACTTCCATGCATAGGTTACTTTGAACCAAATTCTCTCATGAGTTTTATGGAGATAGGATGAGCTCCCACATTTTAAATTTTTTTTCTAGCCAGCTCATTTTCACGCACACTTACTTGGGTATTGGTGGAATAATTCATTTGCTTCAGAAATTCTTCAGCTGTCTTCATTGCAGCCTTTCTCTCCTGGGGATTAGCATCTTTACCTAAAATAGAGGATAAATGAAAAAGACAGAATCCCAGAGAGGGAAGGTATTACATGATTATGAAATACTTGCACACCAAGTAATAAACATAATTATAATTTAATTTAAATATGACACTGAGAATGGCAAAAATGTCCTGGTATGTTAAATATATTTATTAATATCATAATGATCGCTATATATGTATAAAAGATTTGTTTTATATTGCCCTAATGCTTTCTTTAACCCCATCGTTCCTGGCAAATGATACTAGTAGGAAGAAAATATGGTTTTCATGTCTGCGTTTTACATGAGCTATTTACAGATCAAGTCTCAAAATCATAGGTTTTTTTTTTAATCAGAAAAGATGTTTTCTTTACCTCTTCAAAGAAATAGCTGTAAATCTGAAGCACAGCTACAACGTCAATGGTTTACCTTTCCATACGAAAATCTGTTTTGCAGCACCGTGGTCCAAAATAAAGCATTCTTCAGAAAGCAGCATTGCCATGGAGAAGGGGTTCTCTTCTGCAACCACAGTCACTCTCATGGATCCACTGGCATCTGAAACCTAATATAAAAACCATTAGCTTGTTTGCAGATAATAAAAATGTCCTAAAATTACATTATGGTGATGGCTGTACAACTCTGTAAATGTAACAACAACCATTGAATTGTATACTTTAAATGGGTATGGTATGTAAATTATATCTCAACAAAGCTATTTAAAAAAAAAACAACAACAAAAATCCATGAGCCAAATTATACCCTAAAAGCCTTCTTCAAAGTCCTTTGGACAATCAACAAAACTAAAAGACAATCTACAGAATGGAAGAAGATATTTTTGAATGACATATCTGATAAAGGGTCAGTATCCTAAATATATAAAGAACTTACATAACTCAACACCAAAACCCCCCCAATAGTCCAAGTAAAAATGGGCAAAAGACATGAACAGACATTCCTCCAAAGAAGACATACAGATGGATAACAGACACATGAAAAGATGCTCATCATCACTTATCATCAGGGAAATAAAAATCAAAACCATAATGTGATATCACTTAAACCTGTCAGATCGGCTAAAATCAAAAACACAAGAAACAGCAAGTGTTGGCAAGAATGAGGAGAAAAACCCTCATGCACTGTTGGGGGCAATGCAAACTGGTGCAGCCACTGTGGAAAACATTATGGAGGTTCTTCAAAAAATTAAAAATAGAACTACCCTATGATCCAGTAATTCCACTACTGGATATTTAACCAAGAATACTAAAACACTAATTCAAAAAGATTTATGCACCCACCCCTATGTTTATAGCAGCCAAATTATGGAAACAGCCCAAGTGTCCATTGACTGATGAATGTGTAAAGAAAATATGGCATGTATATAAACAATGGAATATTACTCAGCCACACAAAAGAATGAAGTTTTGCCATCTGCAGCAACATGGATAGATCTAGAAAGGATAATGCTAAGTGAAATAAGTCAGAGAAGACAAATGCCATATGATGTCACTCATATGTGGAATTTAAGAAACAAAACAAACGAACAAAGGAAAAAGAGAGAAAGAAAGATACCAAGAAATAGGCTCTTAACTATAGAGAACAAACTGATGGTTACCAGAGGGGAGGTGGGTGGGGGATGGGTGAAATCTGTGAAGGGGTTAAGAGTACACTTATTGAAATTCTGGGAGCAAGATGGCGGAGGAGTAGGAGACCTGGATTTCGTCTCCTCTCAGGAATTCAGCTGGATAGGGATCAAACCATTCTGAACACCTAC